TTTAAGTTCCTATTCGATTGAGAAAATTCAGAAGGTAGCCAAATAGGATTTTCATTCTGTTCCTCTATCCTTATACGCATGTGTGTGTGTGTATATATATATATATGATTGTATTAATGTTATATTACTTCTTCTGTTGCAAGGTGAGTGCGTCTGTTTTCCATCTCTCAATTCTTCTGTCAAATTGCTCGATTTATGAACATGAGCATAAGTTGCATATTTCTGTCAACATACACACACATTGTTTTGTATTTGTTTCTTCATTTGTAGATTATAATATGATACAAATTGTCTTACAGTTGCAAAATAAATTACTGTGATAAAGTGATATTTATATATGTGTGATTCTTCAATAACTTAGAAAAATAATGATTAGAATCTTATTAATTGTTGTATGGTGAAATTGATGTCTTTGTTTTCCTTAATGAGGTTATCTATCCTGATTCCAGAAGTTTCTATTTGCTCATTTATTTGGAAGATAGTGTAATTCAGGTGTTGTGTGTATGCATTTGCATATAGACATATATCATAATGGAATTGGATTGATTTCTTCATTTTGTAGATTAGGATTTGATACAAATTGTCTTTTGATAGCAGTAGAACTATTTGACATTGATATTGATATGTGGAGGGTTCTTCAACTACCCAAATAGGATCATTAAATGTTACTCTTTGCTGATAAAATGAGACTCACGACTTGTCTTTTGAGCTTTTAATATCTGATCCTAATCATCTGTTCGTGACATCACAATTTTCTAGAAATTGACAATAAGAGATACAGAAATAATGATGTTAGAAGTTGTAATCCCACTTGAGGAGAAGAGAAGTTAGAGATGAAATATGGCGTTCATATTCACATGGATGCTCTGATGCATGCTTGTGATATTGTTGTGAGATGCTCCGATGGTTAGTTGGCTCCCAATTATGACTTTTTCTTCTTAGCATTATTGTTGCCGTCGTCGTTAACATTTTTTTTCCCTATAAAATCCTTCCCGTTTAGCATTGTTGTCCAACAAAGCAGAAGCAAATGGCTGCAGCTAAAAGGTGATGGTGGTTCTGCAAAAGAAGGCAGTCGAGCTGCTGGATGGCGCTTGTGCTAGGCTGAGACATGATCTTGATGTAAATGTGGAAGAGAATTGCCTGGATGAAGGTGAATGCTTGCTTTCTGGCACTCTTCGTGAGTTAAATGAAACCATAAGAGAGAAGGATTTGGGCAGTCAAAGTTGGATTCCTCGTGTAAGTGCTTGATCCTTTTTCTTTTGAATAAATTTTTTCTCTTCCCCTTTGCGACTTGTGCTGCTTATAGGTGAATCATTAATTTATGTGGTTTGGGTGTTTCTGGTTCATTGCTCCAGGTAAAAGAAGAATATATTGGTTTTAGGGATTTCTGGGATAGATTTGCAGAAAAGTGGAAGCCTCTACTGATGCAGTAGGGATCAGCAGAAAGAGCTCGAGAAAATTTCATCATGGTACAGTTGCGCTCAGGGCTGATCTCATATATGCAGGAGGTGGAAGCTGCTAAGAAGAGGTTTCAATATTCTTCGGTGGTTCTAGACCTAAGTGACGATTTATCTTCCCTTGTTAATTCAACTTGCAAATGCGTCAAGGAAAATGCAACTGTTAAACCATATACTGTTGCAGAGGTGACCATATTTATCTATCATTTTCTTATTATCAGGCCATCATAAGCTATCAAAGGCTTTATTTTCCTTGGCTTCTACATTTTTCTGACATATTTAAGCAGTGAAACTGATAGATTTTTCTGAGGTTTCTGTGTAGGTGGCCAGCCTCATGATCAGCGTCCCTGCTTCATGGCTCCTTAATTCTTCAAAGCCGCCACTGCAGGGTATTGGACAGAGATTGCGGAAGAGGTTTGGTGTACAAGATCATGTTATTGATGCAGTCTCCAATGCCTTGTTGAGGTGTCTGCCTCATGAAAGCCGGCATCGCCCTATTGGATCATTTCTCTTCTTCGGTGGTGCTCCTTATGGCAGGCCAGAGTTTATTGAAGCTCTCACCGAAGAGCTGTTCGACTGCAAAGACCTGCTGGTAAGGTTTGAGATGTCAGATTACAGCGATTCACACTGTTCTCAGTGTGATTCATCCTTCCTCGATGTTCGCACCAAGTAAATAAAATTCAAGTCTGTTGAAGGACATATAATGTTGTTTTCTTATCGAATCGCCCATATCCAACACCTCCCTCAAGCTCTATCTTCCTTTCCCTCTCCTCTCTGTTTGTTTTTTTCTCTCTTTCTCCATGTCCAAACACTCTCTTTATGTAAGAGAATAAATACAATCCATAACCATTTTTTTTGGTACTAAAATTAAAAACGCGTTGTTGTGGAAAATAGTCAGGCATTTGCTGGCTTTGTCAGATATCTTTAGACCAAAATATCAATTTTTTCTGTTTGGGTTTAGAGGTGCAAAAATGACTTGATTGGACTTAGATCGAGAGTCAGTCCAGTTCAAATCCAGATCAGGGCTCGTCAATCTATGGGTTAGACCATAACTGGTCCAAACTATATATATATATATATATCTCATCTCTAGTTCAAAATTGTCTTCAATATTGTTCTATCATCGTATTTACTGGAAATAAAAAATAAAAAAAACTACTATCATATTATCGTTTAAATACTCTCATCAGATATGACATTATTTCTAATGCTAAGTTGAAATTCTCTCATATGATAATGCATTATTTTTAATATTGTTGAAACGTTGAGACACTCGTCTACACTATTTTTATTATTGTTAAAACTCTTACGTCATTATTTACAATATTTTCAGTGAAACTTTGTAGTTCCCGTCATAGTTTCATACTCTCCCGAGTGTTTGCATAATTATTTTTTGCTTTTGCAACCAATTTCCATTCATTTGGGGAATTGTTAAAAATTTTATGTGAATGAAACTTGCCTCCAAATTATTCATGTATATCGCGTTAGACCAACAATGTGAATGTGATTTGATTGTTCTATTTAATTACATATGGTTATGTCCAATGACAAAGGGGCATCATTTTGGCTATAAATATCCCAGGATGCCAATTGAAAAAATCATCCCATTATGAAATTCCATTCGTAAATTTCAGAATTCTTCTATTTATCTCTCACCATGAACAGTTCAAGCCATATACTCCGATGATTCGAACCACATGGACCCAAATTATATAGTTCTTGTTGTATGATAAATTGGTCGGAGCCAACTGGTGAGAATAAAACCTGACTCATTATTAATTTTTTTTTTTTTTTTTTTTTTTTTTTTTTTTTTTTTTTTTTTAGTATAGATGCATTTTTTAGAATATTATATAACCAAATTCATTTGTAATGCTGCTACGGGTAGGGCTCTAACCGAACCGATTTGAGCTGAGCCGAGTAGTGGCTTATTTGGGCTCGGCTCGAAAAAGTTCACGAGCAATTCGAACCGAGCTCGAAGCTCATTAACCCGTATATCATTCTTCTACTATATACATATTTGGAGACTTGGAGTACAAATTTACAGAGAAACACAAAGATAACACAACATGGCAACAATCATATACACATATTTAATTCAAAGATGTATTCAAGAAAAAATAAATAAATTACATATATCTGCCAAAAAAATTAGCTTTCTGCTGGTAGTGGATCATCGTATATATGTGACAGAGAGACACTATGAGAGAGATGGTGCATTCAATTAGGAAGGATGTTTTCTGTTGGAAGTCGATCAATATATGTGAGAGAGACCCTGCAGTCAGATTAGGAAGGACGCTATGAGCAGGGATGTGAAAGAAAGAAAATAGAAGATAATGTTAGATGAGGGTTAGGGTTTGTGTTTATATATATGGGGCCCATGGGTTTTGTTTGCTTATGGGCCTTAGTTGGGTTAGAGATAAACGTAATTCTCACTCGAAATGGGCTGGTATAGAATATAAATTCTCACTATCAGACTTATATCAGTATATATAATTATATATGTTCGCAAAAATGTTTACGAGTTTTGTTCACGAAGAAATGGGCTGAGTAGTGGGTTGTTTGAGTTTGGCTCGTTTTTTAATTAAGCATGAAAATTATGTTTGAGATTAATTTATTTATTAAATAAACGAAAACAAACCAAGCTCAAATAGTTTGTCAAAAGTTTGATTCATTTAAAATCCAAACTATCGTGAATGGAGACCGTTATACTCTGAAAGACAAGTGCCATGCAGGTTGTTCATTATCACAAGGAGCATAAATTGTCTTAAGAAAATAATATCCAATACTAATCTCGTCTAGGTTATTTATTATATTTTTATTATGCATGCTTAATTGAATATTAAATTAAATTTTTTTTATAATTATTTCTTATCAAAGTCAACTTGACATAATAAGGATAATAATAGAGATGGAAGAAAGAGGAATAATCTAGAAAAAGAGAACATCGAAGTTAGGAGAATATGATCAAGTAGGGAAAAAGGTTTTATTGGTGGTGGTTTATTTTCTTACCTCAATTTCACTATTTTTAATTAAACAAATAAATAATAATAATTTCAAAGTAAGCACTGGCCAATGAAATAGTGACGACCCAAATTAAAAATGGATCTGATGCAATCAGAACACATCGACTTTCTCTTGAAACTGTTTAAAAATATATCTTTCAATAATATCCCTTATGCACAATTTAACTTCCCAATTGATTTTTTCTCCAATGTAATTTAAGTGTGCTCTTGTGATTATTTTATTTTTCTCTTATTGCTTTAATTATGTTTTCACATACTTGAATGATCAATCGGATACAGGTAACTTTACACATAAAATCAAGAGATTCAAATTACTAATCCAACAAAGTAAAGTTGAATTCATAGTAAGAGGTGTGGACATCTAAGTTTTTTCAACCGTTTGATTCGGCGGCCAAAGAATGAAATTATTCTTCGATTAATCAGTCAAAAAAGAAATTCAAAACTCAATTGGGTTGACCCACAATAAATGAGTCCATGCATCAAATCAAATCACCCAATAAACTCAAAACACCCTTGAAAATGGGTGAAAATAAGTTATCACTAAGGATAATTTTTATTAATAAGAAATAATTAGCTTAGGAAATACACGCGCGCGCGCACACACATATATAGTTAACACAGATATAAATATAGAATGACATAATTATCAAGAAGCACACGTCACTATCATATTCTTGTAATCAGTCCTACTTGGGGTGAATTGGGGAAGCAACTCCTCTTCTCCAATTTCTCTCAATTTTACCCTCATTGTCATTTTCATCTCGTATCAACTGTTGATTGCAAAGAGTTTCACCTCAAACATTTCATAGACAAATCAAGTTGATCGTATGTTAGCTGAGACTGGTAAAATGTGAAGTTATACCATATAACAATTCTATAAAAATATTCCCAAACACAACTCGGTTGCTTTCTTGAATTTGCCACAAATTTTCTTGCAGTTGATAACAAGAACCTAGAAACAGGGTTTCACCAATTGCATGGAAATATATTGACAGTCTCCAGCTCTTACAAAATTTTAATGCTCCAATCATCTGCAATCCGGACGTCGGGTTTGCGGATGGTTAAAACAGCTGGGACCTGCCGCCCTCGAAGATAAAGTGGCCCACGTTCAATTTCAACCTTCTGGTTTGCTGGTTCAACAAGGGCGCTTGTTGGTCCAGGAGAGAGTCCTAGTAGAATGATCCTCTCAACAATGCAATCCAAGGAAAATTGGCTTTTGCCAGGGCCAGAAGCTGCCATTTTCGAAGATGTAAGCTTCCCATCAGAGAATACAAAATGACGATGGATGTAAGCCCCTTGCTCAAATTCAAAGCTCTTGCCATCATCAACATAGAGCTGACCTTCAGCTGCTTTCGAACTATTAAGAGCTATCACCTAAAGCAGAGACAAAAAAAATAAAAATAAAAGGTGAGAATTAGCAGACACAATTAGGTCACCTTGACAGTTGCAGTTCCTTATTATTACAGAGAACAAGAAATGTAAAGCCACATTGAATAGGGAAAGAATCAACTGATCCATAATGAACTCAGTCCATCAAAACAATGCCAGGTGTTAACCGAAATAAGATAAGAGTGTCCAGGTAGAACAAATTAAATTATTAAAAACAAACAAGCTAAAATTACATAGAGAGAGAGAGAGAGAGGGAGAGAGACTAAATTTTAATAATTTGACTGAAAAAGGAAGAAAATAACTAACTGGTCAGAAATGACAAGAAAACTACGGGCTTTTTTAATTCTCGAAAAACTAAAGAAATTTACTTTTCTTTAGTCATTAAAGCTTCTGTTGGGATTTTTCCTATTCTTTGTGGTATGCTTTCCCCGTCTGAATGCTTTCTAATACAACCTTACTTATCAAAAATCTCTCTGTGGATAAGTATTCATTAAAGAGCACCCAAAAGGGGGGCACGGCCAGAACAAACTGCACAAAAACCTATAACCTCAAGCTATCCATAAAATCCAAAAGAATCTCCACATATTTACAGTTAGAGCCCTGAACCCAAAATAATAGAGAACTAAGAACAGACTCCATCCCATCAACAGATCTCTTATTCCTCTCTCCATAAGGACCACCAAAGACAAAGCAGGGCGGACCTCCACGAAATTCTGACTTGGGAATGCACTCAACATCCATCTCAAGAGTCAATCAAGTTCCTTGTGGACTCTGGCATGGCCCACTGCATCCCAAAGATGGCACACATCTAATCCCACCCATTCCTTGCCCTAGGGCAAAGGAGAAGGAGACAATCCACCGTCTCCTCATCCCTCTTACACGTACAACACAAACAATAATCTGATGCCGCCTTCTCAGATTGTCAATGGTCAAATCCTCCCCAAAGCTGTCCAACCAAAAAAGCCACCTCCAGGGGGGAAGCTTTCAATCCCCAAATTCCTTTCCACGGAAAGTATGTCCCCTAAGCATCTATCAGCTGACAATAGAAAGAACAGACCACAAATCTACCCTGGCGTCCATATCCACTCATCCATCCCCTCCCTGGAGATAGTCTAGCTGCAAAGCATAGCCAGGAACTCAACCATATCCTCTACCTCCCAATCATGCAAAAGTCTCTCCAACTGCACGTGACACGTCAACCTCCCGTCATCAAGCAGTGCAGAACAGTAGTAAATCAATACTGAGTAGTAACAAAACAGTGCTGAACACATGGTCCGCCAAACCAGCCAGTTCAAGATGGCTTTTGGAGCCTCAGAGTCACACAAGAGAACCGGCCAGTTCGGTAGCAAACAGTGATTCTCCAGCCAAAGCGGCCGGTTCGACCCAACCAGCGGTTGGCACTGCCAAGTGTAGTGGCAATTAAAAAAAAAAAAAAACACTTAAGGCCGATGCCAAGATTTGAACCAAGGCATTAAGCTTTACATGCCAACACACTAACCACTAAGCCACACACTCAGGATACAAATAACCACTTCTTTAATATTCCATGGCATTTTCCATATGCTACTTTTATAACCACTTCTTTCACACCTATTTTTTAAGAACTTTTGATGTGGGAACAGCAATATACAAATAACAAGCATTTTGGTATATATTCCAAATTAAAGTATGTATTTTAGCATTTTAGTATATATTTTAGTATAACCAAATTAAAGTTCAAAATTTACATGAAGGTCCTGCTCTTAAAATAAGCATTTTAATAAAGATAATATAAATGAAGGTCCTATCCATATACGTTAGAAACTTAGAATATAAATGCAGGATACAACAGAAATTTATGTGTTCAATATTTGTAGAGATGTCAATCCCCCTAATGACGATCCACCCTATCCGATTAATTCTACCATGTGCTTTTGCCATCCTGTGAAAATTTTCCGCCTAGCAAGAGGGTTATAGAATTATGTCTCCAACACATCTCAGTCTCTTCTGATAAAATCAGTCGATCCAACTCTCCCTTTAACCTTGCCGCATAACTTTCTTTTACCTCAAAAATTCCCCAGCCCTTCCTTGCCAATGACCTCATTAATATTTTGAAGAATCTGGGCCTTCCTCATCTCCAACTTGAGAACCTTTTTTTAATTTTAGAAAATTCCTTTTCATATGTAACTTCAGTTCACTATTTTTTTTTCTTTTTTTCTTTTTTTCTTTTTTTTCCCTTTAATTTCTTCCATGTACGTAAAAAGTTAAAAGACGAATCTTCAAGTTCTATTTGTATTCTCCTCCCATTTATTTACATGAATAAGGGAATTTCTTCTTGTTCGACAACCAAAGGACGCTATTGTTACCAGAGAAAACAGACTAGGACCTCAAACTATACCAAAAAAGTGGCTGGTTGATTTCAATTAGTTCCAAAATTGGGTGGCAAAATATTTTTGGGCAGAGATTCGAGTATAAAGTACTTCAAAATAATATAAAAAGATGGCAAGGTTGAGATACAATAATATTCCCAAGTTTGGACATATTTAAGAGGGTTTGGGTGTTGCAACATGTCCTTAGGAGGGTAGCACTTGAGAATCAAATACATACCAGGGTATATGGGTCATTCATCATCTGTGTGGAGCTTCGACGAAACCGATCCTTCCTTGGAATGATGGTTCCAGCCCTTTGGAAAGAAGGAACACCCTCTTCTGAAACCTCTATTTTGTGGGTTGCACCTCCCTTGTATACAGTTCCAGTTTTCAGGTCGTACCAAGATTGTCCATTCGGGAGATAGACTGATGCATGTTTAGCTCGCTGGTTGAAGTCAAGGATGCATTCAAATTGTGACACAAATTAAATAGATAAAAAATGGAGAAGATTCATAAAAAAGCAAACCAAGAATAAATGACTTAAAGCACAGCACCTCAGTATAAATTCCTTGCACCAAAATACTATTTCCAACCATGAAAGCCTCATCATTTCTGAAAGTAGCTTCGTCAGCAGGAAACTCCATCCAAAGTGGTCGCACAACTGGAATGCCACTGATATTCGCCTCTCTAAATAATGTGTAGAAATATGGAAGTAACATGTAACGAACATGTATAGCTTCCCTTAGAAGTTCTGTGTTTCGCTCTCTGTATTCAATGTAAACCTTACTTTAGCATCAATTACAATAAAGATAACAGATTGTGTAATTCCAGTTAACATCCATTCATGCAAAACTGGTAGTTTTGTATGTACTAGATTCTGTTTTCATAAGATATTGATGTAACAGATACGAACAATCACAAAGTAATAATGCTGCAAACAAATTAGCTTTTCTTAGGCAAAAGCACAAGGAGAAGTGCTTGCCCCTGGAGAAGTGCTTGCCCCTGTGGGCCAACTTCAAGACACAAGTGCCTCAGCCTTTCCGTTTATAGATTTTTTCCCCCTAAATGAAAAAATATTGTATTAATATGAAATACCTTCGCATCAAAAGAGGCGAACTACAAAAGAATCCTATCCAAACTCCCAAACGATTAGGACAGCACAACAAATAAATAAATAAATAAAGAGAGAACAAACTTAACAAGTGGAAACAAATCAGCAATCAAATAAACTTAAGATCAGTTACATTACTTTTCACTCATACATTTATATTGAAATAGATTATTACCTAAAAAATTGTATGTGTGTGTGTGTGAGAGAGAGAGAGAGAGACAGAGAAAGTAAATAACAAATTATTTAACATGCATAACATTTTTTACACACAAGAAGGGTGTTGACAACCATCTACCTTATAAGCTTAAGCTGTTAGAGAGAGTGCAACTTTAATATTTATATCCTTCCACACGCCCCCTCAGGCGTAGCCTTCTTTTTTGGTCCAATACATGATTTTCAATTTTAATTAGGGTGACAATGAGGTTTGAACTCGAGACCTTTGGCTCTGATATTATGTTGACAACCATCTACTCTGAAAGCTTAAGCTGTTAAAGAGGGTGCACCAAAACATTTATGTCCTTCAACAAAGGGCATGCTACATCTGTTAAGCAATATATATTGATTAAATTTCCATCATTGACTAAAATATGAGAAGATTGTATTATAAAAGTAATAAAATAATAAATAAATAAAAAGAGTAAGGAAATTTTGGACTTGTCTCATCTGCCACGTGATTACAACTTTACCATCCAACCAAGACAAGTATCATTATAAAGATTGATCCAAGAAACCCCCAGCAAAAGCCAAATATGGAGAATTGATGAAATATGGTCAAAATGTCAAAAATAAAAATAAAAGAAGAAAAATACATGGAGTAGGGAACAAATCAGAGAGAAACATGGATAACATAATTATATAAAGAACCAACATATTTGGTCACTTACATTATATATATATATATATATATATATATATATATATATATACATATATATCTTTTCATCTCACTAGCGAATGTGTAAAAAGGTGCATAAGAAATGTGTTTTCCCATGCTGTGACTCATGAAGCGTAGGTGACTATATTACTCTGAGGCCAGCATATTAGCAAGTCTCAGGTAATGCAGGATTAAAATCCAATCCATCAAATGAGGCACCCAACTGAACCACTTCTAAAGATTGACTGCTCACTGCTCCAAACAAAAATGAATACAGGCTACTAAAGAGAAAAGTATATATAAAGCCATAATATTTGTACATTATTTCGCATCATGTTTTTCAGATAGTCTTACCCTACATTCTTGTCAGCCTTCTGCTTATCCATGTCATAGTTCAGATTACCAAACTGCTGCTTTTTTCTATTAAATTTATCTTCAACATCCAGCATCTTATATGGTTTCCTCGTTTCCATGTTTGGAGACTGCCGTTTCATGAGGGAAAAAGGAAAGGAGAAGGAAGAGGGGGGAAGGGGTGGGGGATTTGAGAAAAACCACAAACCAGCTTTTCCTTTTGCTTATCTTGGAACAAGAAGTGGGTGGTAATTACAAGCAAAACCATCATAGATTCAAAGGTAAGAATTGAAGGCACCTTCATTGTGCAGAGAACTGAATTGATTGATTTAAAATATAATGGAATGCATTTCACTTGAAATAATGGGAGGTTTGGTCCCATACTGTATTCAGTATAAGTGTATAACAGATGGGTACGGTGAATGATAAAAAGCTGAATTCCTTTGTCATCTCAGAAGCAACCTTTCCTAATAAGGAAGTCTCTGACCATACCCCCATAGCTGTGAGAATTTGCGATTCTATCTCTAGTGGCCACAAACCTTTTAAGTTGACTATATAGCAGATGATCAGCAATTTCTTCTCTATAGTCGAAAGGGTGCTGAGTGGAAACAAAGGGTTGATGGCTTCCCTATGCTTAAAGTGTTCAAAAAATTAAGGCTACTGAAAACAGAACTAAAAAACTCAAATCTCAATCTTATAAGATCTGTCTCACAAAGTCCATATGGCCAGGAAGGATCTTGCAGACATTTGGAAGCAAGTGGAATCAGTCCCTTGTTCAATTAATCTCAGAGTCAAGGAAAGAGAGCGTCTCAAGGATACTAACATATTAGCTATAACTGGACATCTCTTTCTGAACAGAATTCCTGAGTCCAGAGGTTGAATTTCAAATATTAGAACACACTTTCTTCAAGACATTAAAAACCAGAAGAGCAATTAAATGAATTACCTAAATTGAACAGCCAGATGGTAGTCAAATTATTAGTAGCAGGGATATTAAACAAGATGTGGTGAACTAATATCAGAAACCCCTGAATGAAGATAATGCATATCATTCTTTCATTTCTATGAAAGACTGTTTCTGAAACTAACTATGGCCCAGGATGATCATCGTCCAGAGAAATTACGTCTGAGGAGAAAAATAATGCTCTTTTTGCCCTTAAGGATGGGATATCTCTAGGACCAAATGGTTGCAAAGCCTCATTCTTTAGGAGAATCTTGAATATTACTGGAATATTGTTACCAGTGCCATTCTAATCCTTCCTCCCTTTCAAACTATAGACCTTTTCATGTTGGAATACCTTTTATAAGTGCTTTACTAAAGTACTGGCTGACAGGATTAAACCTATTCTTTGTCATTGTATCTCCCCAAAATAATCTACCTTTGTGCCCAATAGAAGAATTCAAAAAAATTGTTGTTGGCTCGGGAATTGCTTAGAAATTACCATAGGTCATTGGATCCTCCTAGGTGTTGAGAAAGGCCAATGATACGGTTAGATGTGACTTCATTCTAGCTTCCCCAAACCAATCTCCTTTACCTTAACCGGATTACACGTGCATAATCTCTCTCTCTCTCTCATAATGCATTGAAAGGAGAGGTCCTTTAGCTTATCCTGGAGATGCTCTCTCTCTCTCTCTCTCTCTCTCTCTCTCTTAATGCATTGAAAGGAGAGGTCTTTAGCTTATCCTGGAGATGCAAGAGCTCAATATTTCTCATCCGTGCTTTCCAGATTATTTACTCATCTTCCCAGCAGGTCAGATGAATTCTATTCAAGCTATTAAAAATTCATTGCAACACTTGTATGAGATTTTTGGCTTTAAAACCTAATGAGATGAAAGACGTGTTCGGTGAACCTAGTAAGAGTTCTTTGCTTGTGGAACTCGGTTTCAAAGAGATTGTCTTGCCTAACTAATCTGGGAGTGCCTCTAATTTCAACCAGACTTGAAGTGGCTAATTGCAGACCTCTTTTATGAAAAAATGATGGCTAGAGTTCACGACTGAACTAACAATTTCCTCTCCTTTCCAGGGATGCTTTACAACTTAAAAATGCTGTTATGTTTTTGTTCAGGTATATTGGGCTTCTGTGTTCATTCTTCCTAACCAAGTCACATACTCTATCCAATAAATTTTGAGGATATCTGTGGGGAAGGGATCCTCTCTCAAAAATGTGGAGCTAAAGGGCCCTGGTCTGTTGTTGGGTGTCAAAAGATCTTCTCCTGTGTAATCAAGCAACATTTTTTTGACAAGGTTAAATTAAATGGCGTCCAAGAGGGCAGCACGCCCAAAAGAATACACAGAAAGCCGACGACGGCCAAATATAATCTCAAGCTATCAACAAAATCCACAAAGTCCCTCACAGATTTACAATTTTGCCCATTTATCCAAAATCACAAATAATAATAATAAAGAACCAAAAATAATGTACTTAAGAAACGAAATAGGAGTCTCATCTCCATTAAAGGATCTCCTATTCCGCTCGCGCCACAAGCCCCACCATAAACAAAGTGGAGTGGCCCTCCAAGCATACCTGCCTTGGCTCTCCACTATACACCCTCTTCAAACCTCAATCATGCCCACCGTAGAGCCAGGGGACAACCAATGCATACCAAACATTGTAAAAACATAGACCACACATCCCTCACCACAACGAAGAAGAAGGTGGTTCACTGACTCCTCCACCTTCTTGCACATGCAACACCAGTTCACCACAATCTGTCGTCGCCTTCTAAGATTGTCTAAGCTGAGGATCCTCCCAAATGCAGCTAGCCAAGCAAAAAAAGCCACCTTCAGAGGGGCTTTCGATCTCCATATGGCATTCCATGGAAAGGAGGGGCCCACAGTCCCCAGAAGGCTCTTCACTTCTTTTCTTTGCCTATGATTAAGCCCTTTGGCCTATGGCACACAGGCCATAGGTTTATATCCTTCCTCGTTACACTCAAGAAAGTCTCATCCCTCTTCACTTCTCTTGATAGCCATTGGAGCTGATTATTATATCAACATTTACGTGCCGCGTGAAAAGAGCAAACACCAAAGATCCCTATCTGGGAACCCGACCAAACCATTTCATCCATCCCATCTCCCTCCACCACCTGTCTATACAACAGTGTTAAGAACTTTGCTACCTCCTCAAGCTCCCAATCATGGAACTCTCTTCGAAACTGCACGTCCCTAGTCAACTGTCCATTATCAAGTCGACAACCAAGGCCTGTTGTCCATAGAAATCCTGAAGAGGTTAGGGAACCTACGGGCCATAACAGTGTTCCCACACTAGAGGTCCTCCCATAACCTGACATGTCTCCCACTCCTGACCCTAGAGCAAATGCATTTGGAAAATTCATCCCAACCCTTCAAGATAAGCTTCCAAATCCCCACTCCTGAAGGGTACCTCAACTCCTTAGACAACCATCCTCCAACCTCCTCCAGGGGACCTCAACTCTCTAGACAACCATCCTCCAACCTCCTCCACGCTCCAACAAGAACTGATCCTCCTCCACAATCTGGTCCTCTCTCCCAAATCTCCAAAGCCACTTGCCCAACAAAGCCTTGTTGAACAAATCCAACCTTTTAATGCCTAGTCACCCTATTTGGATACGGGTGCACATTTTCCCCCAATTGACCGAGTCGTATTTGAACCCATTCCCCATACCACTCCACAAAAACCTCCTCTGAATCACCTCAAGCCTCTAGACTACCAACATAGGCATCGGAAACAGAGACATAAAATAGGTTCGAAGATTCGAAAGAGTAACCTTCATGACAGTTATATGCCCCTTTCGAGAAATATTGCTTCTTTCAACCTGTAAGCCTCCTCTCAAAACGCTCTACCACTACATCCCAAATGGAAGTCCTCCTCGACAAAGCTCCCAACATAATCCCAGATAAGAGGCTGAGAAAGAACCAACCCCACACCTAAGAATGTCGTGGATCTCCTCTACCACCCCCATTGGAATCAACTCACTTTTCCCAATGTTGATCTTCAAGCTTGAGACTACCTAAAAACATACCAACACACATCTCAAGCATCTCAACTGATCCTCCATTGCATCATAGAAGACAATGGTATCATCTACAAAGAGCAAATGGGAGATCATCAACTTATTAGGGTATCCGCCCACCCAAAAACCCCGAATAAATCCCAGACCATCCGCCCTTCTCATCAATCTGCTAAGAGCCTCCATGACAATGATAAACAGAAAAGGAGAGAGCGGATATCCCTGACGCAACCCTCGAGAACTGGAGAAGATTCCAGCTCGAGAGACATTCAACAAGACTGAGAACCGAACCATTGAGATGCAATAGTGGATCCATCTCTGCCATCTATGGCCAAACCCCATCATCTTCAGTGTATGCATCAAGAAGTCATAGGCCTTCTCAATGTCTAACTTGCAAACAATTCCTGGCACTCCACTTCTGATCCTGGACTCCACACACTCACTAGCAACCAAAACCGAGTCCAAGATTTGGCGACCCTTAACAAACGCATTCGTAGTGTTCGAAATCACTTCATTCATAACCCTCCTCAAACAAGTGGCTAAGACTTCAGCAAGAAGATTATAGACGATACCAACCAAGCTAATCGGTCTAAAATCCTTCACCTCGACACCTCCACTCTTCTTTGGAATAAGGGCAATAAATGATGCATTGAGGCTCCTTTCGACTTGCCCTCTGCATGAAAGACACTAAATACTTCCATCAACACTGTCTTGGACCACCTCACAATTCTGTTGGAGGAAGGCCATCGTGACACCATCAGGCCCTGGGGCTTTATCCCCATCACAACTCCTCAAAGCCTTAACCACCTCCTCCTCCCTAAAAGGTCTCTCCACCTAATCCCTATCCTCCTCTGAAATGCCCAAAAACTCAAGCCCATCAAGCAAAGGTCTCCAACTTGCAGTTTCCAAATATAGCTGCTAGTACAAAGACAAGATCCCCCTTTGAATGTCTTCCTCCCTACTCAAAAGGCTCCCATCAATGTGAATCATGTCAATATGATTACTCTGTCAATGATAGGTCACCATCCGGTGGAAGAACTTCGTATTTCGATCCCCTTCCTTCCACCAAAGTAGCAATTTTTGCCTCCACGAAATCTCTTTCAACGCCGCAATCTCCCCAAACTCCACCTTACACTCCCTCCTCCTACTCATCTCCACATCACTGAGGCTCCCTTCCCCCTCCTTTCAGTCCAACTCCGAAATTTCCTAAAGGATTCTTTTATTGCGTCATTCAGTGTTGCCGAAGACTTCCTTGTTCCACTTCTTGATATCACCCTTCAAAAATCATAGCTTGTTCGCCAAACGGAAACTTGGGCTACCCATAACCTTACAACCCATCCGCCATTTCCAAACTCTCTTCTTGAAGTTCTCTCCTTTAAGCCACATGTTCTCAAATCGAAAAGGGGTTGTCCCTCTCCTCAAACCTCCACAATCCAATAGAATGGGAGTATGAGCTGATGCCGGTCTCCACCAAGCCACATCTAGAAACTTCCCCAATTCCTCGAAAATCAAGGACCTATTCAACCTAGACCAAGTAGGGGGTTGTCTGCCACTCGTCCAGGTGAAGTGGGCTTCCTCCATTGAGAGATCAAGCAAATGTTGAGCATCAATAAAATAAATAAACTCCATAGTAGCCATAGTCTATCTCCCCCTTGAAGGACTCTCACTAGGCACCTTGACATCATTGAAGTCGCCCCCAACACACCAAGGGACCGTCTATCTCCTTCTAACACCCTCCAACTCATCCCACAAGCCTCTCCTCTCCAAATCCCCTACCAGACCATAGACACCCAAGAAAACCCAACGAGATCCATACTCCACCAAAGAAAACAAAGGGAGATAGATGACCTCCCTTTCCACACAGAAGCCCATCTTTTATCCTAAAGCACCACAATCCCCCCCACCAAAGCGAGGTTCCCACCGCATCAAGAGACTCCCAACCAACAAACCTACCCCCAAAGACATCTCACCATCCCATCCGACAACATTGCTATTTTGTTTCTTGCAAGCACTTAGAATCAATATAAAATGATAAATAAAATCAACAATAAAGAGGTAAAGAAGATACTTAGAAAGATTGAAAAAAACAACGCAATTGGTCCTGCTAACATACCTATAAAGGCGTAGGAAATGTAATTTAAGGCAGGAATTAAGTGGCTTAAGTGGCTAAAAAAAGGCATGATTTCAAATGAGTGGAATAAAAGCATAATAGTGCCAATTTACGAAAATAAAGGGCATTTACAAAAGTTTAGTAATTTTAGATTGATTAAATTAATCGTCATACAATAAAATTACAAGAACAGGCTATAAAACAAATATAAAGAGAGGAATCTGTGTTATTTGATAACCAATTTAGATTTATGCCAAAGAGATCATCAATGGAAGTTATTTACTTAATAAGACAATTAATTGAACAGTGTAGGAGCAAGCAAAAAGATTTACATATGATTTTATGAACTTAGAAAATGGATATAATAGGATCCAAAGAGAGAACTTGGAGAGGAAAAAAATTCCATATACAATGATAAAGATCGACATAGCTTCCTTTGGAGCTTTTGGCTTTTATTGTGATCTATGTGCATAGGAGGTATGACACCCTTAGTCTTGTACACTTGTTCATATATATGTAATCTACCCACTTTTTTTTTCTTTTCTTTTTTTTTTATTTTTTTTTTATTTTTTGAAAGGTAATCAACCCACTTGACAAGAAACAAAAACAAATAAATAAATAAATAAAATCCAAGGCTAAGTACGCCAACAAATTCTGGAGCATCAAACTTCCTTACTCCAAAATCTGCTATAAAAATAAAGCTCTTAAGACAAGTATATGGAATATCTCAACTTTGGAAAGAAAATATTATATTTGAGTAGAACAAGTAAAGAACACACAGACATAATAGATGCATATACATATATATATATATATATATATATATATATATATATATATATATATTTCTTAGTTGATACTCACACACCCATGCCTCCACGGAGGCTTGAACCCTGACCTCCCTTTGAGAAGGAGGGGCTTGGTACCGCTAGGTCACTCGCCCGTTTATATATATATATATATATATATATATATATATATATATTATATGTACAAACAAACTACTAAATACTATATTTTACAGTTGAAGATCTATATCATGTGAATGAGTATAGGATATCCTACCCAAATAACCAAGGTTCTCGTCTTTTGGTGTCATGATGAGCATGGCCCCTAAAAAAGGGATAGTAGGCACCTAGTTGATACCAACGAACTAACAATTCGGTATCAGGATTGCCAAAAAACCCACCAACATCAGCACCTGTATAATAAATTCAACATGATTATCTGTAAGAGAATCTAACTAGCTATTTGTCGAATAGAAAGAGGAATTATACTAACCAGAGAATGAGATTCCAGTAAGACCAAGTGTCAAAATCATCGGAACTGAAACTCTGAGGTGATCCCACTCCGCTGTGTTATCTCCTGTCCAAATTGCTCCGTACTTCTGACTTCCAGGAAAGATTGCTCTCGACAAAACAAAAGGCCTGTCCTTTCCATCTCCTCGCTTTACAAGGCCATCAGCTGTAGCCATGTGAAAGTAGTACCCGTAGGCATTATGTAACTCTCGGTGCTCAACACCTCCATAATGTAACGCGTCTCTAGGCATTGTCACCTGATTACAGGAAAGTAATTATGTAACAGCACTAGGATAAGACAATTATAGCAAGATTAAAACTTTCAGCACTGCTTTAAAACTCTCCATCAATAACCTAACGTGATCAGAAATTCAGAAAATGTGTCTTGTACATGACTTGAATGATCAAGAATAATTTGCTGTACATAAGATCAATGATTCAGCAAATCACATCCTTCTCTCTCTCTTTTCTTTAATGAAATTTAAATAAAAGTGATAACAATGTCTTAAGTAAATGCTAATTAGGTAATGATTATTCATGTAATGATTATTGCTGATGAAGCTATCATCTTGATAGTGGGAGATTGACTGTGTAGTTCAAGAGGTTGCAGGATTGGGAGATTGAGAACACTGTTCAGTTTCTGGCACTTCAATATCATCAAAATGTGAGCGGGGAGGGGGTGGATGAGTGGGTTTGGGTGGGTTCTAGTCATGGGAGACGGGGAGGGGGTGGATGAGTGGGTTTGGGTGGGTTCTAGTCATGGGAGACTTGAGGTGCAGTCATTCTACAGTAGATTGATGGATACTCAGGAAAACTCCTTCCCCTGGAAGGCTATCAAAGGTGGCCTCTTTTTGGATGGAAGGCAGTCCTAGGGAAGATCTTGACGATTGAAAACCTAAAGAAGCGTTGGATCATCGCCAATTGGTGTTGTGTATGCAAGAGGGATGAAGGGTCAGTAAACCACCTCCTCTTGCACTGTTCAACGGCTAGGGACTGCTGGGCCATGCTTTGTACTATTTTTGGGATTCATTGTATCATGCCGGAATCCATGAAGAGCTCGATCGAGGTTTGGAGAGGTCTGGTGGAATCCCGAGCTGAAGGTGTCTGGAGGGTTACACCCGTAGGATTGTGGTGGGCTTTTCAAGGAGAGAGAGGAATAGAAGATTCTTGGAGACTCTGATAGGGGTGTTGAAATGCTCTATGCTTAGTTCATTATTCTTTTGAGTTCAAGGGAGAAAGTGTACGTCTATAAAGAATCTTGTCTTTTGTGGATGGTTTGAAGCTACAGGTTTTTGGTTCGTGCAGTTATATTTTGGATGCAATCCCCTTTTGAGTTATTTTAATGTATCTTTACTTATCAAAAACATACATGTAATACTGGGGAAGACAATTCATTAACTAATGTTCTTTTGGATCGTCAAACATATGAAGTGTGGGATTGGACACAACTTGTAGGTTACTATCTCCATCACAAAATAAGTCTCTCTTCACTTTTTCAGGATGTCCAAAAACAATTGTTCCTTTTAACAAGTCAAAAGTAAAAAATTAGAAATTTCCTAAATTATCATGAGTTTATAAAATAAAATAAAAAAATTAAATTAACAATGTTATACGGAGTATTTAAATTTTGAAAGTGATAGTTCTAAAATTTCAAACTGAGAGTTGCATTAAATGCATTTTTTTTTTTATAAAACTAAGAGTTGAATCAATTGCATGTTCCCCTAAATGCTGAATGATTTGGAGATTTCCAAAAGGTGCCCTTAATTTGGGACGGTACACATTATGGTGATAACCCTAATGGTTACAAGGATACATCCTGTTAGGGTATAGGAATGTACCTTCGTCTATTTTAGACCATCTAGTTAATTAACTTAGTTTTGGTACCTCCACCTGGGATACATGGCAGTTAGGGTTTTGCATCTGGTACCATGGTTGTCAAAAGCGCGCCTAGGCGCAAGGCACCTACAGGCGCAGCAGTTGCGCCTCACAATAGCCCAGGCGCAGCGACCTCCACTAGGCGCGCGCCTGGGATTATGCGGCATATATTTTATTTGTTTGATTGTTTGTAGTTTATATTATTATATTTAGTATATATATACAGCTTTGGAAACTTAAAAGCAAAAAATTGGAATTTTGTCATCTTGTGAGGCAACATATCAAATCAATAAAAATCAAGCTGCAGAAGAAGAAACGTGATGTAGTGGGAAAGAGAAGAGAGAGAAAGAAATAAAAAAAAAAAGAAAAGACAAGAGAAGAGAAGAGAAGAGAAACAGAAGAATTTGGAATCTCTGCCTCCTTCCTTCCGACGAAGCCACTACCCAGGTCAGTAATTTCATTTAAGTTTTTTTTCCCCCTCCTCTTCTCTCTCTCATCTGGTTTTTTTTTTTTTTTTTTTTTGCCCTTTTCTGGCTCTCCTTTTTTTCTTCTTTCTCTGTTTTTTTTTTTTTTTCCTCCTTTATGGGTCTCTGTTTTTCTTTCTTTTTCTTCGGGCTCTGTTTAGTGGCTCTATTTTTTTTTCCTCCTCCTCTTCTCTTCTCTTCTCTCTCTCATCTGGTTTTTTTTTTTTTTCCTTCTTTATGGGTCTTTGTTTTTCTTTCTTTTTCTTTAGGCTCTGTTTAGGGTATCAGACTATTTTTTTTCCTCCTCTTCTCTTCTCTTCTCCCTCTCATCTGGTTTATTTTATTTTTTTTAATTTTTTTCTGGGTCTCTGTTTTTCTTCGTGTAGGGTCTCTGTATTTTTTTTTTTCCTACTTTCTGAGTCTTCTCTCTGGCCTAAAATGTTGCTGTGCTATGATGGACTAAATATATGCCCTTCATCTAGCCGCTGATCATTCCAATTTTTTTTTATAAAAAAAATGCTGCTATGCTATGATGGACTAAATATGTGCTATTTTTTTATTTCTTTATGGGCTCTGTTTGTTGGAATTTGCTAGATTATTTAAATTTTGAATGTTTGTGCCTGAATGTTGTTTATTATATATGGTTAATTGGTTTATGTTTTGCTTCTTTTGAATCTTTCTTATAAATAAATAGCTTTATTAGTTTAATTGTTCTATTTTACTGGTTGCTTTATTGGTTTAATTGTGATATATTTAGACTAATTTAGAGTTTTTATTATTGGATGTTCATTGTTTAATTGTGTTATCTTTGCTAAGAATTATTGTTTTAAAATTTTACTTGTGCGCCTCACATCACTCAGGCTCGTGCCTTGTCGTGCGCCTCGCGCCTAGGCTCCAAGGGACCTCTAGCGCCTCGGTGCGCCTTGGGCTTTTAATAACTATGTCTGGTACTTAGGCTTCATGATTTTTGCATGTTTGATTAGAAACATGGAGAAAGACTTTAGAAGCAAGAGGCCTAAAAATTAGGAAAACTAAAACATAATATATAGAATGTAGATTTGATAATGTACCAAAAGATGACAATATTGATATTATGATTCAAGACCAAAGAATTACTCAAAATAAATGCTTTTGCTATTCATGATCAATATATATATATATATATATAAAGATTGTATTACAACAGCATCAGGAGATAGAGGTTGATACCAAAGTAGAATTGGAGCAGGTTGGACAAAATGGAGCCAAGCTGATTGTATCCTATGCGACAAAAGAATATTTAAATAAAGGGCAAACTACAATGACCTCCCCTGAGGTTTGGCCTAATTACAAACAAACCTGAAGTTTGGCATTTTTTTACAAATACCTCCCCATGTCAAATTTTGTAATGAATTTACTTATTTACGCTCGTTATTATATTGTTAAAGATGATCAAAATATCTTAAAATAAAAATGACTATTTTGCCCTCAACCATACAATTACATGTCTTCCCTTTTCTTTCTCAATCTCACATGTCATCTCTCTCTATCAGCGCCGCCACCGCCATGAACTACGTTGAACCTATCGCCATGAACCACGCCACTACCGTCGTGATCTAACCTTGAACCTAGTCGCGAGATCAACCTCTCCGCCACCGAGTGCGAGATCTTTGGCATAGTCGTTTTGCAATACATATCGAGGGATGGGGGGTGGGTGAGGACGGTGGTGGTGGCGGCATGGATTGTGGTATTTTGAGACTGGACTTTCGGCAACCACCATGGTTGTGGAGTTTATTCGCCTTCGCCGGAAACGATCTGAAGTGGCAATGATGACCTGCGACGAAAACCTATAGTGCTGATGACAATCTGTGGCGACGATCTGCAACGTGATCTATGGTGGCCGACGCAGCTTCGGCCCACGGCAGCGGTGGCACGACTGTGATGTTGCCCCTTTTATTTGGCTAACAGAGAATACGCGAGAGAGCTCCTTAGGGCCTATTAGGAATTGGGTTCAATTCCTTTCCCTTGCATCTTCTAATAGTAGCTGGGACATTATTTTTGGTCCTCTTTAGCCTTCTTTAATTTGTTGCCCTCTTTGATTTGTTGAACAAAAACTGTATTAATGTCGGTTTGTTCCACAAAAAAGGGTGGTCGGTCGGTGGTGGTGGTAATGATGATAATGGTGACCCTAATCCTAACCATAATTGTAAAATTAAAAGTGTAATTTATTTAATTTAATTATTTTAAATAATAATAAAAAAATTATTTTATATAAATAAATATGATTTTAATTAAATATAATTAATAGCCTTTTAAATTTATTTTAATTACATTTTAATCATTGTAATTGTTTTAATCATTTTAAATTTATTTTAATTGCATTTTAATCAACGTAATGTTTGGTCCACTAATCAAAAAAAAATCAATGTAATGTTTGGTCCATTGATACAAGTTTTTGTTGTAATTTAATGGCACTATAAGGTTAGTAGGGTCTTTTCAATTTAGTTGAAGGGTATTTTGGTCACTTCAAATTAATTTTCTGGCAAAAAATACTACTTTTTGTACGGAGGGGAGGTCTTTGCAAAACGGGGCAAACCTTAGGGGGACACGTTGTAAAAAAAATGCAAACCCCAGGTTTATTTGCAATTAGGCCAAACCTCAGAGGAGGTCGTTGTAATTTACCCTTAAATAAATTAAAAGAAATTTTCTATACAATGGTTATTAGGCCAACTTTATTGTATGGTAAAGTGTTAGGCGTTGAAAAAAATAAACCAACACCACCACCAACAATCACTTACAATATAGGTAAATTACGTTTTAGGAATTTCGATGGTGATGACTCAACTGGTAGCAGTGATAGTGCTGGCGGTCATGGATTTTATGATCCTTATGTTGATTATGTGGTTACAGCTCATTAGGATTTGTTGATTGTTGCTTTTATTTTTATCAACTTGGTTATCACTTAGCTTTGTCAGAACAGGTGCTCTAATTTTTTGTATTATAGGGGACTTAGTCTTCAAAGCAAATATAGTGTAAATTTTATTGCTTTTCATAATTAATGAAATTTTTCGTGGAAAGCAGTCTGTAGAACTTATTATCAGGTGGTCTAGGGTGACAGGTGGCGACTTTCAATGTAAAGCGATGTGGAGAACTAGAGCCCCTACCTTTTTTTGATAAGTAAAGAACTAGAGCCCCTCTCAAGGTGGCATTCTTTGGATGGACAATGGTTCAGGGGAGAATTTTTATGCTTGATTATTTGCTGATGAGGCGGCAGATGGTGATCAACCGGTGTTGTGTTTTGCAGCCTTGCAGAGGAATGAGGAGTTGTGAGTCACCTTCTTTTGCATTGCCCAATGGCTAGGAATGTTTGGGCTATGCCTTTTTCAGTCTTTGGGGTGCAATTGCTTTAGTCAGCTTCCAGTCTTAAAGGGGTGTATAGAGGGAAGACAAATTCGAGATACATGGAGAACAGCCCCTCTTTGTGTTCTGTGGAGCTTGTGGTGTGAAAGAAATAGGATATCGTGGAATCGCCCACATGTGTGAAAAAGTATTATATTCTGAGTTTATTTTGTGGGGTTATAGGGAGGTTTTTAAAATCAATAAAAGATTTTGTAGATTTTATGGATAGTTTGAGGTTGTAGCTTATTTGGTTTAGTTTTTAGTGAACAGTTTTCTGTTTTCTAAGAACTGAAAATAAAAAACTGAAGAAACTTTGGCTGCTTAAAGTGTGTCAGAAGGTGGGAGGGATGGGTAGGACACCTAGGGCACCTTCCAAAAAAGAAGAGGAGGTTCAGAATCTTATTTCGTATGTTTACTATGAAGGGATGAGTGAGGGGTCAAGGGAAAGGGGTAGAGGGTTGAGGAGAGGGAAGAGTAATACATTTGTTTCCTCATGAAGTTACGCATTATTTCATGGAATGTCCATAGTCTAAATGACCCAGATAAGAGAAAGGTGGTGAAGTTGGCAATTCGGAAGTGAGATGCTCTGTGGTGTGTTTACAAGAAACGAAACTTGTTACGATCTCGGATAGGATGGTTAGGAGTCTTTGGGGTGGGAGATTTATGGATTTGGTGGCTTTGGATTCTACGGGTGCTTCGGGAGGAATTCTTGTAATGCGGGATAAAAGATGGGTTTCCAAGCTTGATGTGTGGATGGGACGCCTTTCCGTGTCTTGGTACATTTTCTATGAAGGGGGATGGTTTTCAATGGGTTTTTTCGGGAGTTTATGGCCCGACTAATGATGGCTTGCTTCAACAGTCGTGAGCGGAACTTGGTTCGATCCGGAGGAGATGGACACTTCCTTGGTGTGTTGGAGGGGACTTCAACGTCATTCGGGCACCAATGGAGAGGTCATCAGGGGGAAGGTGGACTTCGGACATGGAGAAGTTCTCAGGGTTCATAGACGATTTTCAGTTGATTGATTTACCACTGGAGGGTGCATCCTTAAGTTGGTCTAGTGGTCGTTTGTCTCCTACGCTCTCTCACCTTGATAGATTCCTTGTTTCTGGAGATTGTGAGGAAAGTATCCAGATGTTGTTCAGGCGGCGTTGGCTAGACCAATCTCTGATCATGTTCCCTTGATTTTGGATTGTGGTGAATGCGCAAGAGAAGCACTCCATTTCGTTTTGAGAATATGTGGCTTCGCGCAAAGGGATTCTCTGAAAGAGTTCGTTCTTGGTGGGAAGGTTATGATGTGATCGGTACCCCGAGTTTTATTTTGGCAGGTAAAATGCGGCTTTTGAAGGAAGACATCAAGAAATGGAATAAGGAGGATTTTGGGAAGAATTGTGCCTTTTCTGAGATTGCAGTTATTGATCGGAAGGAGGGGATGGTTGACCTTGAGGAGACTTTGAGGAATAGGAGGGTGGAGTGGAAGGCAGAAATTGCAGAGATTGCCACCTTGGAGAATTCTTGGAGGCAGAAATCTAGAGCCTTGTGGCTTAAGGAGGGGATAGAAACACGAAGTTCTTCTATAGGCTTGCAAATGCTCATCGTAGAGGTAACCATATTGGGAGGATTTGTGTGGAAGGAGAGATGTTGTGCAAGGAAGAAGAGGTCTGTAGGGGGGTTGTCTCTTTCTATCAGAAGTTGTTCACAGAGACTCATAGTTGGAGACCTTTGCTTGGGGGTCTGCAGTTCGATACGATTTCTAGTGCGGAATGTGTAGGTTTGGAAAGGCCTTTTTCTGAAGAGGAGGTGTTGAATGCACTGAAGAGCTGTAATAGAGAGAAAAAAAGGGGTCCTGATGGTTTCACTATGAGGTTCCTTTTTCAGAGTTGGGAGAGGTGATGGGTACTTTTCATGCTTTCCACTCTCAGGACCATTTTGAGAAAAGTTTGAATGCCACTTTCATTGCGCTCATTCCTAAGAAGAGGAGGGGGGTGCAGGACTTCAGGCCTATTAGTTTGGTGGGATGCATTTACAAATTAATAGCCAAGGTCCTTGCGTTGAGGTTAAGGGATGTCTTGGATGGGGTCATTTCGGATTCTCATAGCGCTTTTGTTGGAGGCCATCAAATTTTAGATTCCGCTCTTATTGCTAGCGAGTGTGTGGATTCTAGACTGTGCAATGGGATCCCATGCATTTTATGCAAACTGGACATTGAGAAGGCTTACGATCTTAGTTGGAGCTTCCTTCTCTATTTATTGGAGAGGATGGGATTTGGTGAGAGATGGATCGAGTTTTGTATCTCTAGTGTTCGTTTCTCAGTCCTTATGAACGGCTCTACGATGGGATTCTTTAGTAGTTTGAGGGGCTTGAGACAAGGGGATCCACTTTCTTCCTTTTTGTTCCTCGTTGTGATGGAAGCCCTAAGCAGATTGATGAGGAGGGTTGTGGATTTGGGCTTCTTGCGAGGTTTTCGGATGGGCAGAGATGTTTCTAGTTAGTTGGAGATATCCCGTTTGATGTTTGCATATGACACTTTGGTTTTTTGTGATGCGGATGAGTCTCAGATGAGGTACTTGAGTTGTCTTTTGACATGGTTTCAAGTTGTTTCCGGCTTAAAGGTGAACGTGGGTAAAAAGTGTCTTGGTTCCCGTTGGAGAGGTTCCGGAGATCTCCACTCTTACCGACATTCTGGGTTGCAACATTAGCTCTTTTCCTATTTCTTATTTGGGGTTGCCGCTTCGGGCGCCGTCGAGGCGAGTGGGATGTCGAGACCCTGTTGTGGAAACGTTTGAGAGGAGATTGGCTGGGTGAAAGATGCAATATCTCTCAAAAGGTGGGAGAGTCACTTTGATGAAGAGTACTTTGTCGAGTCTTCCAACCTATTTTCTCTCTCTTTTTCAGATTCCTTGTTTTGTGGCTGAGAGGTTTGAGAGGCTACAACGTAATTTCCTTTGGGGTGGGATGGAGGATGAGTTCAAGTTTCATTTGGTTCGTTGGGATCAAGTTTGCACGCCAATTCGTTTTGGTGGTCTGGGCGCATTAGAAGACTGGTACCTTTTAATAAGGCCTTTTTGGGCAAGTGACTATTGAGATTTGGGGTTGAGAGGCATAGACTTTGGAGAAGGGTGGTTGCAAGCAGATTTGGGGAGGAGAGAACTGATCGGTGTTCCAGGGAGGTGAGTATCCCTTACAGTGTTGGGGTTTGGAAGTCCATCCAGAAAGGATGGGATGAATTCTCAAAACACATTAGATTTCGAGTGGGGGATGGGAGGAGGATCCACTTTTGGGAGGATACTTGGTGTGGTGATCATTCTCTAGCCATCACTTTTCTCAGGCTTGCTAGGATAGTTGTGGACAGACATGCTTTGTGACCAACTGCTATTGTCTTGATAGTGGGAGAACTGTTTGGGACATTGGTTTCTTGAGACACTTTCAGGATTGGGAGATCGAGGATGCCATTTGTCTTTTGGAAATGGTGTACAGGTTGGAGTTTACGGGCGACGTTTCTGACTCATGGGTGTTGGTTCCTTCTTCCCAGAGTTGTTTTGGTGTTCAGTCTTTCTACAGGTGCATTACCGAAGCCCATGGGGAGTCTTTCCCATGGACAGCTATTTGGAGATCCAAGGCCCCTCTCAAAGTGGCTTTTTTTGTGTGGACATCGGTGTTAGGGAAGATCTTAAGCCAGGACAACTTAAGAAGGAGAAAACAGGTAGTGGTCAATTGGTGTTACATGTGTAAGAGAGATGGGGAAACGATTGATCACCTTTTTCTGCATTGCCCCGTGGCTTGGGATTGCTGGGTCTTACTGTTGAGTTTGTTAAAGGTTCAATGGGTTATACCCAGATCCCCCAGAAATTTGATTGAGGCTTGGCGAGGTTGTATAGTGGGGGCCCAAGTCCTTGATTTTTGGAGGGTTACGCCTCTTTGCATTTGGTGGTGTTTATGGCAGAAATAGGAGGTCCTTTGAAGGAAAGGAGATTCCTATGGGGGAGTTAAAATTCTCTATTATTAGCACTCTTTTTTGTTGAGTAATAGGGAGATATTGTAAATCCATGGAGGAGATAGTTGATTTTTTGGACTCTCTGAGAGTTTAGAGGCCCTATTAGGCCTTGTGTATTTTTTGAGGGATGCGTTCCCCTTTTGAAGGCTTCTTTATACAATCTTTACTTAAAAAAAAAGTTCCTTAAAATTATTTTCTGAAAACAATTTGTTCCGAGTCCTTGAGATATGTTTTTTAGAAAATTAAACCAAACAGGTGTTGTTCTTTGGGTGCCATTTGAGCTTTTTTTAATGAAATTTTACTCATTTAAAAAAATTCTTTTGCCCTCTGGAAAAACAATAAGAATTTGTGATGTCTTTAAGAAAATCGAATGCAAGAAAAAACAAAACCAAATGCAAGTAACATACCTCTGGACCATTGAAGACAGAAGGTTCATTCATGTCATTCCAGATGTACAGGGAAGGAGTGGAACCAACGTAATTCTCATACGAGAACTTCTCAGCCCACCATGACCGGATTTCGGGGTTTAACATATCAGGGTACGAGGAGGAACCGGGCCAGCACCACCCATCATAATCCTTGCCAGTTGCATCCTTAACATAATACCCCTTCTCGGTAGCCTCTTTATGCAAGTGGAAAGACTCATCCCTTTTCATATGAGGATCCACAATGGTAACCATGTGCCTACCCTTTGCAGCCAACTTCTTCTGCATTTCTTCTGGGGTAGGGAAAAGCAACCTATCCCATGTAAAATACTTCTTCCCATCGGTGTGCTCAATATCAAGCCATAAAACATCATAAGGGATATCATGTTCATCAAACTTCGAATCAACATTAGCAACATCCTCCTCATCCCTATAATTCCATCTACATTGATGGTAAGCCGTTGCAAATAACTGTGGCAATGCCGATGTTCCAGTCACACTAGTGTACTGCCTAACAACATCTTTTGGCCCAGGACCCAGAAAAAAGAATGCATCAACAATACCAGCCTCACTCATCCATAGAGTATCAATCCTGTTCTGATCTGAAGGGAGGGAAATTGATGACTCCGAATTCCAACCAGACTCAAGAACATCAATTTGCATTTCAGCTGCATTCAACCAGAAAAACCCAGAAGTACCCCGAGCTTTACCGTGGGAAAGCATAAATGGTATGGACCCATAAATCCCAAATGGAGAATCATGAATATATTCAAAGACATCCAAATTAAAGAGCCGATATGGCTCCGATTCTTCAACACCAGGCCCTTTTGTGGGTTTCAGAGCTAGACTGGTGGCATGTTCAGGAATACCATAAACAAAATCAGCCCCATAAAAGGACACATCAAAGCTAATTGATTGCGGTCCATAAGGCCTCGTATCAGTATGCGTTCTAAACCTCTCTTCCCAATCATCCCCTTCATTTTTAACCCTCAATTGTTCAAAGTCAAACAACCCATTTGAATTCAGCGAAATTACGCGCTTACCTCCTTTTTCTCGAACATAAACCTCGAACGGGTCGTGTCGAAGGACCGCCTCGTACTCATCTGATAAATAAACAACTGAAGAATAATCCGAATCACCATCGATCGTTTCCTTTGAAACCCTTTGCAACCAGAGCTTCTTGTTCAAGAATTCCGGCACAATCACATCGGGGACTTGGAACCGCTTTTTCGGGGGATCCAGACTCGGGTCTTCGTCGATCTTGAGCCGCAATGTACTATCCTGGTACACGGATAGAGTGAGAATCAACGGCTTGATTGGCTCTTCATTCTCTTGTGATGGGTTTTTGGAAATGAGTTTGGCGGTGAGATAGCCGTCTGCGACAGCGACATCGGTAGCTGTGAGCGCACATGAGCCGGGTTTTCGCAATCGGGCTCGCTTGCAGAATGGAGTTTGATTGCAGTTTCTGAACTCCTCCCTTTTCCAAGATGAGACGGAGCTCAGGTGAGCCACCAAAAGAAGAAGATACAGTAGATGATGCAGAGATACAGTTCTCATTGTGTATTTGTGTAGATAAATGGTAATAGTTTACATGTGAGTAGTGGAATTCTAGGGTTTTTGAACCAAATAAAATGGTTGATCAGGAAACCCTAAAATGGAGGAGAGAAAAATGTCTTGACTGTGCGGGTGAAGTGGTGTCAGAACAGACAATCTGCTGTTGAATAGCTTAAGGCCTATTTGTGATTATTTTTCAACCATTAAAAGCGTTTTATTTTAAAATCTAAAAAAATTGCGTTTATCGCCCCCAACTTTGATTAAAACTCTCAAAAACAGTTTTCTGTTACGAGAATTGCACAAAATCCAAAAATTTAGCTATTAGTTCCGTTTGGATGTGTTTTTGTAAAATAGTTTTTTGGAAATTGGAGTTACAAAAGTAGACCAGTCAATGGAGCGGATTCGATCCGATTAGTCGGATATGGATTGAACAAAAAATCTGATAACCTGGTTACGATTCGAATCCGATAATCCGCTAGCTTAACAAATCGGATATGGATTATGTTGATCCGATCCGATAAAAATTTGATCCGATCCGATTGAAATTATATATATAAATAATTATATATATATATAATTTTACACATATATATATATCAATACTCCTATTAGAATTGTATTAAAGGTAACCCAAAAATTCAAAATAATAATAATATTATATAAAAATATTGTGGTGTTCTCATCCACATGCTAATAAATCTCTTAGTACACATACTAATAAAATCATACTCTTTATAATTATATATGTTAGTAAATATTAATTTAATCCGATTTCGAATCCGATCCAATCCGAGTCCGAGTTAAATAGGATATGGATTGGGACATTCAGTCCGAGAACCCATTAGTGATCCGAATTCGATAATCCGTTTGCTTAACAAATAGGATATGGATTTGATTGATCCGATATGAATTCGATGAATCCGATCCATTGACAGGTCTATACAAAAGTACTTTTTAGACAATTTCTAAAAGGTGTTCTCAGTTTCTCAAAATTGTTCGTGTGTAAAAACACAAAGAAAATTTGTTTTTTTTTTTTTTAAGGTAAAAAATAAATCGTATTTAGATTATAATTTCCTAATCCAATCCTCTTGCTAATAATGGTCTATTGGAAGCTGGGCAATATTTATTACTTTTGGTAAATAATTAATTTGGCAACTAAAATAATGAAAAGAATGTTGTAAAAAGGATGTTGCGTACAGTGTAAATTTGTGAGAATGTCAATATGTTTAATATTTTGTGTTTTTTCCTAGTTAATATGCTCAATATTTTTTTCAGTGCAATCCTCAATAAATTGTTTGTAAAGTTTTTATTCATCTTTATTTGGCAATGCACTAAATATATCTAAATTGTGAGATGTTATGTTAATTTTTTAAGTCCCATGTTATGTACATTTTACATTTCACCAGTTAAAAATACACGTCGAATTTATAAAAACTTTAATAAAATTCTTCTTCTTCCTTAAAAAAAAAAAACTTCAATATTGTATTTGTGCAATTTTTTGTTAATTTAAAAATATTTAAGAGTAATACACATCTAATACTTATAATAAATTTTAAAAAATAAATAAAAGAGTAATATGCAATATTCTTTAGTTTTCATGAAACTATTTTCAGTATATACAACCAAGTAGTTTTATGAGTTTTTGTTTTCTGAAAATTATTTTTGTACTTTTCTCAACCAAGCAAATTTTCAAACCGAAATTTGGACTCTGTTTTGGTTCTCTAAAAACTTTCTTGAAAACAGTTTTGAGAGTTGAAAACCAAACAATATTTTTTGGGTTTTTCCAAAATAAAAGGTATAGGTTCAAGTCCAACATATGAAGTATTAGGGCATTCATTTGATCTGATCTAGAAATGATTTGATCCAATTCGATCGATGCCGATAAGGAATTCGTAGTTCACAAATTGGATTGGTTTTTAGCCTCATGGTTCGATTGCGAATTAATAGATAAGGAATCCGTAGTGCAGGGATCTATTAACGGATGGAGTCTAAAAAAATCGATTCAATTCGATCCATTCAAATTTATATAATATATATACACACACACACACACTATTTCTATTTTCTTTATTTTTTATATTATTTTAAGTTTTACTAACTTTCAACCCTACTAAATTTTAACCCAAAAGACCTTCTAACTCATAAGTTTTACTCATGTTTTGAAAATTCATCTCTTAAGCCATGATTAAAAATAATAATATTGGAGTATTTCGAAAAAGCCCCAATGAACCAAGAAGATGGATGAATTGGTTCTTTTACAAAAACTTATTTCAACACTTAATTAAATTTCAATGCAGATAAGGCTCACACATTCAATCATATGTGATCAGTGATTTTACAAGGAAAATCTCTCTCAGCTAGAAATCAAAAACCTTGGTTCATGGCCTCAGCCAGTATAAGCTACACTAGTTGTAATGTAAGTAGATACACACTCAACTGTCTCTTACTCTGCACATACCCTAGCTCACAACAACGCACACAGGCACTCCCCTTGTCCTAAGCAACCCTGCTTGGACCCTATGAGCTCTCACAACTCTCAAAATATATTGAAAATGGTGAATAACAATACTATTTAAGCTATTACAAAAGGTAAGATTGATTACACAACTTAAAGTATCAAAGAGAAACAACAAAGCTTCATTCTGCTAAGGGGTAAATCTGGAAATTTGTATCAACACATAATAGAACTTGGATCCCACAGCCTTATATCAACATTATATACATGCTCAGATGATAATCTCAATGGTATATGGAAGGTATATCACAATCATAGTTTAATAAGGATTAATTCTGCAGAAAACCCTAAAAGCTAGGGTTTCAGATGTCAAAACCACAAAATGACCATTTCTTTGTGCACAACTCAACTTGAACAACCTTGATTCAACTATATAAATTTGCACAGATGATAAGAGTGCAACTCACAGCAAGATATCAAGTGTACGAACTCATATCAAAAGTATAAACCAGAAAACACAAGCACAGATATAGGTTTGGGACATCAAAAACTACTGCAGCTAAAATATGTAAACAAACATGATTTTTGCAGATGTAAAATGGTAAAACACACTTGCCTCAACCTCTGGAAACCTCTGAAATGGACTCAAGTTTGGAATGACCCTCTGAACCAGGCCTCTGCACCCAAAAACCAACAATATACAGCATTGTCCATCATTTTCAAATGCACACTCACACTATATGGATTATTAAGTTGAATTAGCTCACAAATTGAGCTCAAATCTCATATATTTTTCATTGTTCTTGGTGTCTCGAGTGTAGTCACAATGTAGCTCACAAGTGTGCTCATACAAGGCTTAGGAGCCTTGTAATGACCCAGTCATTTTCCTCCTTTTTCCTTTTTCAGTGAATTTTTTTTTTTTTTTTTGGTCTTTTTCCTATTTTGTCTTTTCCCTATTTCGTATTTTCTCGTTTATCATCTTTCCTTGTATAACCTCACTTTTATGCTCAAATTTGATTCCGGTAGGGATGACAACGGGGCGGGGATCTCATTCCCCATTCCTATCCCCAGCCAAAATTTTCACCCCCGTCCCCGCCCCCATACCAGTTAAAAATTTCAATCCCATCCCCATCCCCGCCCTCGCCCCACCACCATCTTCCCCGCCCCTGTCCCCATCACCCTCGCCCCCGATTAAGTTTTGCTGCTTCTCAATATCACACATATACATGAAGGAAAAAATCACAGATAAATTCTCAGTTCCAATTGTTAAAAAAAAAAAATCTCAACAAAATGATTAAAAATCTCAGTTCCAGTTCCAGTTGTAAAAAATGAAAAATCTCAACAAAATGATTAGAAATATCTAAACAAAATCTCAACAAAATGATTAGAAAAATCTCAATTCCAGTTGTAAAAAAAAATCAAAAATCACAGTTAAATCAAAAACAAAATGATTTGATCTATTGCATATAAATATATACACACACACACACACACGCATACAATCATCTCATAACAGTGAAGTCCTTAGTGATGGAAAGGGAAGAGAAGACACATAGAACAAGAATTTCTTCAACCACTTTCCAAAAATAAAAATAAAAAAAAAATTTCTTCAACCGATGCCTGCGAGGGGGAAGAGACGATGTCGGAGACGGATTTGGAAGGACGGGGAAGAGCCGATGCCGGAGAGGGATTCAGAAGGACGTGGAAAATCCGATGCCGGAGACGGATTCGGAAGGACGGGGAAGAACAGACGTGGTTGTCGAATCTTAGGAGAAGAAAGAGAGAAGATGAGGAGGAGGAGGCGACGATTTGGGTTATTAGGATAAGGTTTAAGGGTTTCAACATATATATATATATATATATATATATATATATATATATAAGCGGAGCTCGAGGCATTTGGGGCGCAATTTTCAGCTTTCAAAAAGTAACTTTTGACTTTTGAGGCATCTGTGACTGTTTATGAATAGTAAGTTACTGTTCCTGTCGTTTGTGCCGACGGTTACTGTAGATGAATAGTTCTTTGTCGGGAGCACTGTTGAAATAGTGATTCTGTCGACAGTTACTGTAGAAATAGTGACTTTGACTTGTTACTGTAGCAATGTTGACTTTTCCCCCTTTCTTCATATTGAAGATCAGGGGGTATCGGCCTAGGATACTAATTTTTGGTAAGACTAGTTGGGTTGACACGTTTATTGACTAATCGACTAATCTCTAGATTAGAAAAAGCATGTTCAATTTGTTGAATATCAGAGGGGTAACTAGACTTCTTTAATGGCTTTGCCTTTCTCCATGGTTTTGAGAAAAGTCTCAATCTGGAGAATGACAGAAGGATCAGGAGGGCTTTGGGAAGGCCTTTTCGCTGTTTAGGCATAGAAATAATTGGTGACTCAAGTTGGGTTGAAGTGACAGGAGGAATAGAAGACTGAGTGAGGGAAAGCTCAATCTTATCAAGTTGAGTTCCAATAGTATGCAAATATTGATTGGTAAAATTGTTTTGTTCAATTATTTTTCGTGTGTCATTATCAGTGACTGTGGTGGTGACTTTTAAAGGAAAGGCAGGGATTTCTGTTCCCATGTGATCTAGAATTACTGAATCTAGAGGAGGATGGGAGGAGGAAGTTACTGATTTATCTGGTTTTTTCCACTTGACTTTATTGAGGACATTAACTTGATTATAACAGTTTTCTAGATAATAAAAAAAATTGATTTCTAGTTGATGCTCT